GCCTCTTAATATTTTACCAAGCAGCTGCTATGATCTACCTGCATGGCTGGGCATGGGCAGCCATATAGTATGCAGCCCTTGGCTCAGCTCATTATTTTTAGCCAACTATCACTTCTGCCCACCATTCCTAAGTCCAAGGCTCTTAACTTCTGCTTTCTCTTTGGTTGCAACTCTCCATTGCATCCATTCTGGCCTCTGTTGCTCTGCTCCAACAATGACACTTCTATCCACTTTGACCTCCAGAAAGAGGTGGAGAATTTCTTTTGTCCACAGGCCTCTTTTTCTTCATTGATACAGTTTGTATTTGGTATATATTACTTGATGTGGGGTTCTGGATGGAAATGGTTATCCATAAAGTTTTGGCAACCATAGGCCATTCACTGTGGAGATACCAGCCACAGGGTCATAAAGTATCAAAAGCAGCAAGTAGGAGGGCATTATTGAAATACAAGCCTAAGTATGCATGCCTAGTCCACTGTCCTGCATGTCTGTTACCCCTTCTTCACATAGGGTACTCTGAGGCCGGAGTCTCTTACAATTCTCTTCTATTCTACCAGATAGACCCATATTCCACCAGTTATTCTACTTACTGGGTAGACCTTTGAAAACAAAATGGAGTCCAATAAATTCTTGAGAATGAAAACGGTCCATTGACATGTACTCCAGATTCTAGAATCACTAAAGTCCTAAGAGCAGTTGATTCCTTCCCTCATCTACCTAATCATTTTGTTCTTTTTTCAATATATATATATTTTTTCAAATATATATTTTTTCAAAACTTTACTTGGAAGCCAGCTCACAGGGGAACACATATTGATCAGAAATACATCCTCCACCGAAGAAGCTTACAAGTATTTTGGTTTGGTTCATTGGTATGATGTACAACTCATGGTCCCAAGGAAGTATGCCCCTCATCAGAGTTGGCTGACTACAGTGTGCATCAGCTAAAACAGTGTTCAAGAAAAATCAAGCATATTTGGGTCTCAGGCTTATCTGGATCTATCCACCCTCCAAAGTCATGTGTCTGTTTGACTTACCCAGTTTATATTAGTAGTTCCAGAAGCAAGTTATATATCAGAGACTTATTGCCTTGGGTTTTTTGGTTCTGGAGTCCAACACTAGAATCATGAATGATAGGACTCCTGATTTATAAGGCATGTTGAAAATATGTTTGTTTCTTCCCCCAATTCCCTCCCATTTTTATGAGTGCTGTTAAGTTGAATTTCAGCATGTTAAGCAATTTGTGACTCACTGAAGTGAAACAACTTAGTCCTCATAAAAATGGAATAAAATGGTATTTCCATGTTTCATATTATGGTTTGAATCAGCGTGCTATTTGGAGCTTAGTGGAGTCTACTCACAATGCCATTTTGAAGCTTTGCATCCGACCAACTAGTTACTGTGTTCCCTAAAATTTCCCAGGATTCCTCAGCTACCCTAAAATAGTAAAATTTATAGTTTCAGGAAATATAGGGAAAATCGAGTAAGCAAACAATGGCAGTATTTTTGTAACTTCTCTCTTACAGAAAATGTGAATGGTTTCTACCTTTTCTCCATTGCAATCAAATAATACATCTGTGAATAAATACAGCTCCTCTGCTCACTAGATTTCTTAGTTTTCTTCCCCCTTAAGTTACGATTACTATTATTTTCTTTAACCAATTTTCCTTGCATTACTCATTCTTTAGTACCACAGGAATGCAGATCATTCCATTTTGGCAGTTACTGGAATGAGGCATAAATACTGTATTTGTATTTAATTTTCAATCTTAAGTATGCTCAAAATTTTAGGATAAACTTCATTCACTGTACCTTTAATAATATGGACTGTGAGATTTGACTGAAGAGTAAACTAAGGTTAATCTTCACCCGTCTAAAAAAGAATAGTGTTAGAAAAATGGCAGATGGAGTATAACTTCTTTCAGAAAGCAAACTGTTTCTCAGAGTTTTAATCTTGTGAGGTGTTTGCAGGCAGGTGTTGCTGCCACCTATGAGGAGGTGGCCCTTTTGCTAGAACAAACGGGAGGCTTTGAGGCAGCTGGCCAACAGGGCATATCCATCCAGAAGAAAGGGCACAGGTTCAGCCTCCTTGCTGGCATGGTAAGGCTACGGAGAAGCATAACATGCCATGGAGCATTGGGAAAGATGCCATCGTCTACATTTCTGTGTCCACTCACTGGTTAGCATAGGCTCAGTGCAGCTGATAACAAGTGCAATGATGGTGACAGTGGCTGAGGCACTGTAGATTTACTAGAAGAGGGTTCCCTGGGGATGGAGTAGCATCCAGGAATGGGAAGACATGTACCCTAATATCATTCCTATCACATCAGCAATGTACTGATTGTTTGTGCCCCTGTCCCCAATGAATATGTCAAGTCCCAACATGACAGTATCTAGAGATGGGGCCTTTGGGGGTGATTAGTTCATGAGGGTGGAGCCCTTGTGAATGTGATTAGTGCCTTTAAGAGAACAGGCCACCACATGAGGATACAACAAGTGAGCAGTCTACAACCCGGAAGAAAGGCCTCAACCAGAACCGAACATGCGAACACCTAGATCTTGAACTTCTAGCTTCCAGAACAGTAAGATGTAATGCCTGATTTTTGAAAGCCATTCAGGCTGTGGTATTCTGCTACCACAGCCCAAATTGGCTAAGACACCACAAAATAGCAGAATAGGCTTGGGTTTCATGGTACCAGACATCCACAGATTTAAGGCTACTCAAATGGCATGAGTGACATTTTGCCCTTGTTCCACTTACTAGAGGACTGACAGTTCCACTGTCAAGCTACAGGGACAATTCCCCAGATAAAAAGGTTGGGATTAAAAATAAGGTCATGGAAGAGGCCCATTGGCATAGACCACTAGGACCTAAAATTGTCTCCCATAATTGGCTAGAGAATTTCAGGTTTCTGAGAAATGTCTCCCCATTGGCATGAATACTATAGAAGATGTTGTCAAGGGATCTGGGATTGCTGAGCTGGTGATTTGGGAGGTTGTTAGCAAATGAATTAGGGCATTAGTCTATAACACAACAGTAAGCAGGGTGGCCCAGGCAAGCGTGCAGTTTAGGAAGAAAACAAACCCTGCACTTGGCTTGCCAGCAGGCTTACCAATAACTGTCAGCATTGCTTCTTTTCAGTAATAACCATAAGAATCCTGTTCACATTGTCCAAAAGGAAGGTTCTGGAACACTTTTTGCAGCAAGGAAGCAGCCCTGAGCACCCCATCCAGGAACTCATTGCTGTCTTCTTTCCTGGTGGGTTGCCTTGCCAAGACTCTCAGCACCACACTTATCTGGATCTGATAACAAAGTGAGGTAGTGCCAAAGGGGCCTGGACATTGGTTAGCTTTTCCCCTGAAACGCATCATTTTAGAACTGGCTTGGACTGTGCAGGAAAAAACCCACTCTCATTGAAGGGCTTGCTGCAGGAACAGCCAAGCTGTTGTCTTTCTATCTATTTCTTCCTTTTGTTTATCATTCACTCACAAAACACTGATGTCTACACACTGTGTTAGGCAACTGGGAAGCAAAGAGAATAAAGCAGGTCTGCTGCCTTCCTGCATGGGCCAGTGGACCCAAAGCTTATTCACCAGCTTGTGTATATCCACAATTAAGTGAGGACAACAGTGTCTCCCCACCATGACCCCAGGTATTCCCATTTTTTCAAATACTATGAAGATATCCTTGAAACTAAGCATTAAGAATAGGTGTCAGCATTGGAAGGCATAGAAACTGAAGTAGGAAGAGCCATGTGGTTTCTGGGAATCAGTATTCTTTTTCTAATAGAATTGATGCATAGAATTTTCTAATTCCTTGATGGCCCTCGGCAAGTGAACTCCTTGATTAGACTCACAGGGGTTGGTGAATGGAGGCCAAAGGAAGTGTGAAAATTGGAAGCCCTCGTCTTCCATCCTATACCAAAGGCATGGTGATTCTGAGCCACCATCTCCAACAGCTCATGGTGGGCTCACCTGCTGAGGCACAGTTGAGGGAATGTGGCTGTAGCCATGACAAGACCAAGCAACTGCAGCTGAGGAAGGAGGCTTCCCGGATGCTATGCTCTGAATGTTGGTGTCCTCCAAATGCCTGTGTTGAAAGTCTCACTCCCAAGGTGATGGTATCAGGAGGTGGGGGTTTTCGGGTGGTGATTGGGTCATGAAGGCAGAGCCCTCATAATGGGATCATTGCCCTTATAAAAGAGGTTCCAGAGAGCTTTCTTACCCCTCTAAGGACGGATCAAGAGTCACCATCTATAGACACAAGCCCTCTTCAGACACCAAGTCAGCCAAAGCCTTGACTTGGACTTCCCTACCTCCAGAGCTGTAATAAACTTCTATTATTGATATGCCAGCCCGTCTATGGGACTTTGTTACAGCAGCCACAGTGACTCAGACACCAGGGCTCCTTGGCTCCTTTATATGCTCAGATTGATCTGAGTAGTCAGGGAGTGTTTCCTTCCTTCCTCTCCTCTTTCCCAACCCCCTTCAAATTTTGGTTTTGCTCTCTAAATTTCTCAATGTTCTAACAACCCATTTTGATAGGTTTGGGGTCTATATACCAATGAGTAGAGTGCTCCCCAAAGCCAGGCCTATCCACCTCCCTGGGTAGTTAACCTTGTCAATGGTGGTTGCTTAGTTTCACTAAACCTTTTGCAGCTAAACAGAACACAGCTTCTCCATTCATCTTCCATTCTCATTTTAACACCTACCGGCTCTTTTTTATGGTCATGATGTCTAAAGCAATTGAAAAAGCTTTGAGATGGTTACGCTGCTGCTGTTTCAGTCATCTGATTCCTTCTGGGCTCTAGGCTGAGTCACTGCCCAGGGCAGGGCAGTGGGCCAGGAGCAGCTGGCTGCTGGAAGGAGGACCATCGGGTGCCTCCTTGAGAAATCCACGCCCCCAACCTCCCAAGGGCTTGCCTCCACCATGAGCCCCCTTTGGGGAGAGGGATCCTCTCTCTCAGTCCCCACTAAGGACATAAGGAAAAGCACATCACCTGGCACCTGCCGTGCACGCAGAGGTCAGTTTCGTAAGGTCCACAGGGAGTGCCATCCAGGACCCTGTCAGCCACCAGCAGCGGGGACTCCTTCCCAAGGGGTGAGCAGTAGAGCTCACATGGCTTATCTGAGGAGGGAAAGATTGGCAGATGTTGACATGGGGAAAAACATGTGGGCCTTGTAAGAACAGGCACAGACGGGTGATGGGCAAGCCCAAGGAAGAGATTGGCAAGGTAGATACAAGTACCGGCAGCTCTGTGTGCATCTTCAGATAAACATACCAGCTCCTTTGAACACCTGACACAGCACATGGGACAACACCCTCAGACTCAGGTAACTGACAGTGTAGGTTTTCTTCCAGATTCTCTTTATCTTTTGCAAATAAACACACCATGCTGAACAAAGGTACCACTGTGAGCTTTCCTCTATGCAAGTTGACTGTGTGTTAAGGGTGAGCACAGGAGCCGCTGCTAGAGTGGGGGCAGGGAAGGAGGGGAAAGTGAATGAGAATGTCCCTGGATGAGTGCAGTGAGATCCACGGGATCTTGATGACAGTGGCTTTCGCTGAAAGCTTTAGGGTTGCCCCAGCTGCTGGGTAACAGCTGCAGAGCTGTGGTATGAGGCATGAGGATCCTAGAAGAAACTGAGCAGGAGCAAGGTACAGAAAGGTGACATAGGGGCCACTGGCTGTGTCACCAGGCAGAATGGAAACTCTGGTTCCCACTGCTCCTGGAACCATGTGAGTGTCCAGCTCTCATAAGTTTGCCTAGGTTATTTCCTCTGTCTGCAAATCCATCCTTGTACTTGGCTTTCTATAAATCTCCCATGACCCTGGAAACTTCTAGCCCAGAGCTCTCACTTCTCCTACCTGCTCTGACATGGAGGATAGGCCCCTCTATGTGCACTTTCCATACATTTCCTTTAAAGCCCCTGGTTGTCTTATAGTTATTTGAACAAATTTCATACATAAACCTATTCTTGCAAGGCAGGCCCCATTGCGTATGGAAATAGGATGAATTTTAATTATAGGTTGAGCACCCTAATCTGAAAATCCAAAATCCAATATGCTCCAAATGGAAAATTTCACACTTGACCTCATGAGGTAGCAAGAGTCAAAACACGGGCATACTAAAAATACTGTGTAAAATTACCTTCAGCTATGTGAATAGGAAACACTAATTTTATATTTAGATTAGGTTCCCATCCTCAAGATATCTCACTATGTATACGAAAACATCCCCACATCAAAGAAAAAAAAAAAAAACTCTGAGATTTGAAACTCTTCTGGTCCCAAGCATTTGGCATAAGGGATTCTTAACCTATGCCTTCAGACTGAAACACGGATGGGATGGGAATCCTTGGGGGTGGGGGGAAGACCAGGCTTTCATCTTTTGTCCCCAGACTGGGTCTAAAACCTAAACTCACAGGAGGACTTGGTAAATATTTTTTAATAGGTGAACAGATTTTATTTTCTGTATCTGAGCAAGAAGAACACACCTTTTCTCTCACAGTGACCTAATCCTAATGCCATCCATGGTATTATATCACAAAGGAAACCTCCAGAGAGAGAAAAACCTTTATGCTGCCTTGCTGGGCCCTTTTTCTCCCCTATCAGCCTTCCCCAGCGGGTTCCTCTGGGGGTCTGGGTTGAGCAAAGGCAGGGACAGAGAAGAGCTTCTGTAGCTGATGTGGACTTGGAGGACCTTGGCATTCTAGCTGGAGGGTCTTTGTCACACAGGCACTGTCTTGATCTTTCATGATTGGATGATAGTCACTGGTCAACCCATTCAGAGGGAGATCATCTTAAAGAACTAGAAAGAAGCCCCAGGGATTTGAAGGAAGTGCTCAATTCAATTCTTTCAGCTCACTGTGGGGAAAAAACTCCGTAGACTGGCAACATAATGATGCCTCAACACTTATTCAACCAACAAGCATGGCCTGAGCCCCTCCCTCACATGAGGCACTCTGTAGGCTCTGCTGGGGAAAGAAGAATAAATAAAGCATCCTTTTCGAGGCCCTACTGGTCTCAAGGACAAGTATGGGGCTGGGTATGTGGCAGTAGCACGCTCGCCTGGCATGCGCAGGGTGCTGGGCTCGATCCTCAGCACCTCATAAAAATAAAGATGCTGTGCCCACCGAAAACTAGAAAATAAATATTGAAAAATTCTCTCTCTGAAAAAAAAATTAAATTTAAAAAAAAAAAGGACAAGAATGGAACAAATCCTGGATAAGGTAAAATGTGGCAAGTCCCATGAAATGGATGAGCTCTGGGAGGGCTGGACTTAACCCTAAAAGGAATGACTCATTTCCTATGCTAGCAGGTTGTGGGTGGCTGGCTCTCCATTTGGAGAGAATGGCCCAAGGAAGCGGACAGTAGAACTAGGAAGATGGAGACATAAATTGAGATTGACTTCTAGGAAGCTCATCTGACAATATTACTGAGGTGTTTTGGTGGGGAGGCATTTGAGGTTCCCTGTGAGGGGGGAGATCAAGGCCTTTAGTCTGAATGGGCTGGTGTGTCCACTGCTCATATTGTGCTAACCCTAAAGTTTCACTGTAAAGAACTGTCCCTTAATCAAAGGGCTTTGAAACTGTGGATATTAATTACCATTAGGCTGAAGTCCTGACTCAATACTGGGAGTAAATGGCATTCCATAGCAATGGTATTGATTATGGAAAAATCATATATAACATTTATGATCAACTATATGCCAGGCAGCATGCTAAGTTGTGTCTACACATTTCGGGTGCATGCTGTCCATCTGTCTATCACACAGTCAAGCACACAGAACATGTAGAGCACACGGAACGTGCATGCCTGGCCTCAGCCATCAGGCCACACCTGACCTTTTCACTTCAGCCCAGCTCTCTATCATCACCACCCACTCTCTGAATGCACAACTCTTGGGACCAAAACACCAGGGGCAAAATGACATTGCTGAAAATAAGTCACTAGGTTCACTAAGTTCATAGATATTTCTAGCTTCTTAGTGTATACTCTCATTTGAGCAGAAATGGAAAAGGGATATGGGTAGAAGAGTAGAAGCTACTTTGAGGAAAGTTGGAAAAACCAGTCTGGGAAGGAAGGAAGGTGGCTTGTCTGAATTTTTTTGGTATGAGAATCAGACAAGTGGAGACTATTAGCAGGAGGAGTAACCTCAGATGATGGATACTGGCCATGACCCCAGGCAAGAAGGTACATTCTACTCCAGCTGTACTTGACTCTTTCACCCAATAGACACTGCCCTCCATGTCCCTGGCAGTCTAGGATACCTGGGCTATAGAACAGAGTCCAGAGGTGGCTTCCTTCCTTGGCTTGGGTGGAACTCCCTCAATTTGTTTATCTCTTTTTCTAAGGATGCCACTCACAGTTCAGAGTGATCCCCACCTCCAGCACTATCTCCCGGAGGGACTGAGGATATAACCTTTTTGAAATGTGAGGTGGTGGTCAGAGCTCTTCAGAACTCTCTATTATATTCCTCTTTAGGCTTTCATAGTTAAGAAAATTAATCTCAGAGATTAAAGACCCTAATAAGTAACATGGGATGGTGAGTCTCAGTTTTGAGCAGTGTTAATACTCTTATATCCCTAGTAATACAGAAAGTGGCCAAATCTTCTCAAATGTTATACAGTCACACGCTTAAAAGAAAGACACTTGGAGCATTCCTCCAGTCTTCTGCATGGCTGGTGTGTGCTGAGATGAAATCCTGACCAAGACTGGTCTGTCTGTGGGCAAACTGGCTTCTCAAGGGCCTGACGGTTAGCTCTATTGACTGGACCAAGAGTGATTACCTAACTGTGGCCAGATCAATCAGAGCCTCTCTCTCCTGAGATCTCAGTACTGGAATTTAGATACAAAGAGATTATTTATCCTCATGGTTGATGGATCCCAAGGAAGACTTGTGGAAATATAAAAAGCTATTAAATAAAGAAACATAAAAAGCTTTGAAAATTTCAAGTGTTTCTTTATATTTGGAAACACTCGCTAACATATTTGGAAGCAAAACCATCCTTGACTAACACGAGTTAGTATCTTCCTCAGTGAGGCTTTCCTTAGGTTCCCTGGTAGAGATAGCTGTATGTCTTACCACAAGGTGGCTCCCAGGATCTCACCAGGTCTATTCATATTTGGTTGATGTAATGTTATTACCTTTATAACCTTAAAATTCTCTGAATTCAGAACCACACCTGGCCCCCAAAGGATTTGGATAAGGGATGTGGATTGACATAAGAGATGCTGTGGGCAACTCTATCAGCCTGCACAGACAAGCTATGAGAGACAGTCTGCAGTGGGGGCAGCTGGTCAGGACAGTGGAGGCCATGGAGGAAGGTCCTGTCATTTTCAGAGGCCCTGGGCCCAGGCCCTCATTTGGCCTTTAGGTCCTTTGAGATACTCTGCATGTTTGCCACAGCTTTCCTTCTTTTTCATTAAGCAGCTCTGGGAAGCCTGGCTGAGTTGGAGCTAGAGAGCCCTAACTATCACATCCCTCATCCCCTAGACACTCAGATCCCGAGGGGGTTCTGCAATTTCAGGGAGAAGGAGCTGGGACTACACCACCATGTTTAGATTCGGCCTTCGCTAAGCCTTCTGACACTGAGATGGGCATGCAGCCTGCTGCTGGCCTGGGTAGAGAGGACTGAACCTTTAAAGGTTTCCACGTCCATGAGATTCCATGGGGAAGGCAGGAACAGGGTGGGTTTGGCAACTGGCCACCTCAATGGGTTTCTGTCTGAAGCCTTTTCCACATAGAAATCTTTTCTAAGGAGAGCCTTTGTCTTCTTTTGGAGGTGGTATGGACTTGTGGTCCTGAGTTCCCCCTTGGAAAGTCTACCTCTGCAAGAATTCTTTAAAAAAAAGAGAGGGAGAGAGAAAAGAAAAAATATTGCTTCTCCTTTCTTGAACCGTGCGTCACTCGCCAAAGAATTCCGCAGCGATAGCAATGTTATGAATAGGGTAGTCATAATGGGCTTCAGAAGAGCCCGGAGCCCAACCACAGGAATCGTTCCTATCACGGCTGAGCTAGAATTGTGCCTTTTATAAAGTGAGTTTTGAGAAGAGCACTTATAATCTGCCTTCTGAATTGGCCATTTATTATTTTGTGTTCACCCTTGTGAAATGCTCCTTTAAAAAAGCTGGCTTCTGTTTATATTTGAGAGAGAAATGAAGCCAAATATGCAAGAAGTCACAATGATTCCACCCCAGAGGAGAACGTGTCGAGTCACCCGAGCAAAGCCCTGAACTTGGGGTCTCTCCTTCAAGGGCAAAACACTTATGGCCCGTTAGTTGTCCTTATCAAATTGGGTTGCACTTTTCAGATCAAGGCAGTGGCACTATAGCTATAGTTAGTTATTACTTGGACAGAAAGAAATCAAAAGCAAGTGAGTGAACAGATGTATTCTAAACTCAGCGAGGTCTCCACAGAGCCTCTGTGAGGCTTCCTGGATGGGGGATCTGGGCAGACAGAAGTCTCAGCCACTGTGATGATAAGGCAACCAGAGAGCTCAGCCATCCAAAAGTGGTTAGAAGTAAAGTAGAAGTTTAAGCTGGACTTGGAGAAATCTCTGGAAAAACAGACATTGAAGTGGGATTTCTGCATTGAAAAAATAAGGCAGGAGAACTTAAAACTGAAGCAAGCAACCAAAGAAAGAATAACAACCTCATGCACAGAGGTGAGTGGTGGTGAAAAAGGGGTGAGTCTATCTTAGACTTGATCTCTTCTGGCTTCAGTAAAGAGGGAGGCGACAAAAAGGAGGTCAAAAAGTGTCTTTATCTGGCCTTTTGGGCACAGCTGCAGGTTGAGAAAGAGGCTGCTTTTCATCAGGAAAGGCCACTGAGTTGGAAGAATGGCAGGCTCTCTCTGCAACTATCTTGCTCCAGATTAGGAGTCAGAATGTGCCTGAGATGGTGGGAAGCCCCTGGTCTTCTCTAGTAGTGTAGCTACAATTACCCAGTCCCCAGAGGTGGTGTTCTTTTGAAAATGTCGGGGGAGCTCTCCAATACTTCTGAGTGAGTTCCCACATGAGCTGGTTGGTATTACCTGCCACCACTTAGAACATCACGTGTCATTTCACAGTTCAGCTCAAAGTTGATGGGTCAGGCTTTTGGGCTAAAAAGCTGAGAAGCTGAAGCTGCTGTTGCTGGTGATGCCTGCTACCCTCAAACAGCTGTGCACATATGAACTTGTAATCTCAGATAGCAAAATGGAGATTTCAAAGGTTCTTCCCATCACAGGGAAAAAAACCCAAGACCTGGTGCCAAAACATCATTCTTCTGTAAAATACGTTAGAAGTTGTCTGAAAATCAGGCCCAGTTGCTTTAGTTCTTCTTAAGTCTCCCTCACTCTGCACCCATGAAGTCATGGTTTCTGTCTTCTTCAAGCATTGGGAGCCTGATGATAACTGGTTATTTTTAGAATCAACTTTACTCCTTTGGAATTGGGGTTGGCTTCCTCCCTGCCTCTTGTCAGCTGTAGGAGCTTAGACATGTCACGTAACCTGTCACCTCTCATCTTCTGCACAGCTTGTTTTGCATATTCAATGAGATGATGTATGTAGAGCTAACGTGTGCCTGGCATGCGGTATGATTGGTAAATGGGACCATATTGTCAGCATTACAACACAAAGTCTTGTTTCCTGTAGAGGAAGAGTTTTACATGGGGGGGAAGAAAACAACCCGAACTAGACCCTGAGGTCTCCTCACTTACAATAAACAAACATGACCCACCACCTCAAATTTTATCAGTCATTAGAAATTCTGGCAACAGCCTGGTGATGTAGTCTCTTGATTTGGAAGAAAATCCTTGGAAAGAAAAATGTGACCTGTGCTTATTATCATCTTTCCCATTTCTACACTGTCTTTAAAATTTCCCCCAACAGCCCAAAGAGTAAAAGTCAATCCAAAATAAACCATGACAAGCAATGCAGGAAAGCACGAATGTTGGAAAGCAAAGTAGCACATACGCAAACACACTCCCACTCCTATAAAGCCTTGTTCTCCAACTTTGTCCTTGTCCCTCAGTACATGATGCAGGGGGCAGGCTTCCTGAATTCCCAAGTTGCTACAAATGGGGGGACAGGATGAATATGACCCGCTGCCTTGAGAGCTGCCTTGGGAGCTCTTAGAGAGCTGGGTCACTCAAGATCAAGCCCCTGCTCCAGAATTGAGGCCAGGGCTGGTGTGGGTATAGCACTGGAGCATTCTGCTGGTGGGTCTGGCGGGGTTGAGATGGGTCCTAAGAGTCTTCTCAGGTGGTTTTTATTGTGTTTGGGGGAGTAGGGAAGGAAGCCACTGTGAATTGCCACGCATGTGCCTTTACCATCAACCACCACTGCTGCCAACAGGCCCTTCTTCTTGCTGCTGAGTCGGTCGTGTGCTTGGCACTGCTGGTCTCGGAAGCTGGGCAGACCCTTGGGACAGGGCAGACTCTCGCAGACGGCATGCTCCACACTGGCACCCAGGCAGTGTGTGCCTCCAGGTCCAGGGCTAGAAGGGAGGAGGAGATCTGCGTTAGCCAGCTGTTCTGTGCAAACAGCAGGGGCACTTCCCAGCTGTCCCCCTTGCCAGAGCAGACAGGCGTGGGAAGACATTCCTCAAGCAATCCCTTCTGCTCTTCCAGACCATCCTGGGCAACCCCAGCCCCACACTGAAGGCATGTTTCAGTGAGCCATGAGAAAAATGCATCCAAGGACTGTAAATCAAGGACATCTGGAAACAGAACACAGCAATATCAGTTCAGCAAAGATGTGTATGTAATATAGACAACTCCAAGGGAAATTTGGTGTTTTTTCTTTTCTTACTTCTCTAAAATGAAGATCTTTAAATGACTCCTAGGATACTCTAGAGGTTACCAAGTTTCAAAATGAGTAAATAAATGCTCTCATTTACTTTATGATGAAAAGAATCAATTCGAATGATTAATTCACTAGCTCATGGGCTTTTGGTGGAGACCATTTAGATCCTGGCTGTGCCATCTTAATCAGGGCTAGTGTGACTTCACACATGGTCAGTGCCACAGTCTTGAGTCCCCAGTGTTCTGTGCCTAGATGGGATTTTAAGCAATTTTGGAAACCTGGCTGGGTTCATTGGCCAAGTCCACATGTGTAGGGGGGAATCAAAGTAGAGCAGTAGGACACCATCAATCTGGACAAAGCATGGCTCTGCCAAGCTCCCCATTAAGGCCCTGGGGTGTTGTCCTCAGAGGACTCTACCCAAGGCAACCTCTATGGTTCCATTGATCTTCAAGATGCCAAGAACATTAGGATAGAATAAGATTTCTTTCTTTCTTTTTTTTTTTTTTTGTACTCTATCCTTTTGGTTGAAATTCAGCATAAGGGTGAAAAGGGCTCAAATCACAACTGTTCTGTTCCATGAGTTTTCACAAACTGCATGTACCTGTTAGAAGCAAGACATTTTGGACACATTAAATTGTTGAGAGTCACAGCCGAAGAGGCCCCAGCAAACTTCCAGCTGATTGGCTCACAGCGGCCCCAGCAAACTACCAGCTGATTGGCTCCTCTGCAGTGATTTCCCTGTCCTTTCAGAACACGGAGCCAAAAGAGTCCCCCAAAGAGCAGCCCAAAGAGCAGCTCCATGTTCTGAAAGGGCAGGGAAACAGCCCAATGAGCTTCACCCCAGAGGAGCCAATCAGCTGGAAGTTTGCTGGGGCCCCTGTGAGCCAATCAGCTGGAAGTTTGCTGGGGCCGCTTAGGCTGTGACTCTCAACATTAAATGATTCTTTTGGGATATGCTTTTCCCTGTGCCATTTCCCATGTTCAAATGGCAGGGCCACCCTGTGATTATGGCTTTAGGAGAGAGATCTAAAAGCAGAAAGTGGTAGAAGTCTTACGCTTTTGTGTCATAAAAGCTCACAGAAGAGGTCAGTGAGATTTTTTTTTTTTACAAATCAAGAGCAGGGAGTGAACATTTTTGGTCTTGTGGGTCATGAAGTCTCTCTATTGCAACTACTCAGCTCTGCCACTGTAGCACAAAAACATCCAGAAGTGACATGTAAATAAGTAAGTGTGACTGTGTACCAATAAAACTTTATTTACAAAACCAGATGGTTAGCCAGATTTGCTTCAGGGACAATAGTCTGCTAGCTCCTGGTCCACACAGATGTTTTACAGCAAACATCTCAGGTAGAGGAAAGGCTCCCTTCATACCTCTGTGTCTGCATATGTACAGGAAGGCAACCTCCTCACCTGGGAGTGGAAGGAGTCTGAGTGATTACATACCCTGGTAGCTCTATTGGGAGGCTCTGAGTTCTGGTCTCCAAGTTAGGTTCAAGTTAGGAAATGGCCAAACCTCTAAAAGGTTTATGGGATTTGAGAACAGAGGGTCCTTGTGTTCTGTATCCTGCTTAGAACACCAGGTAGGCAGCCAGACCTCAGAAAAATGATTGCAAAGTATATTTACACAGACTGAATGTCAGACCACCTCCCCAACAACTCTGGGCCCAAGCATGGACAGAATGGATGTACTCCTGTACCATAAAGCACTTTGTGGAAGAGGAGAGGGGCTGGACCCAAAGAGCCACATGGGCAGCAGTAGAGACATCTCCATAGCAATAGGTAAATTTCCACGATAGGACCAGGAAGAGCTGTAGCAAAGGATGTTACAAGTTACACTGTGTCCCTCTTGCCTAAATTCATGCTGAAGTCCTCACTCCCAGTACCTCAGAATGTAACCTTATTGGGAAATAAGGCCATTCCTGATGCAATTAGTTAAGATGAAGTTGCAGTGGGATGCAATGAACCCTTAATCCAATATGACTGGTGTCCTTATAAAAAGGGAAATCTGGAGACAGGGAGAATGCCATGAGATGAAAGAAGAGATCAAGATGATGCTTCTACACTCCAAGGAACACCAGAAAATGCCAGCAAACTACAAGAAGTTAGGAGAAAGGCATGGAAAAGGGACTTATTAGGATTCTTTGAGGAGACCAGCCCTGACGGCATCCTGATCTTGGACTTTAAGCCTCTGAAACCATAAGAAAATAAATCTCTTTTGTTTAAACCTCTTAGTACGTGAAACTTTGTGACAGCCATTCTAACAAATGAATGTACAAGATGTAACAAGGACCAGACACATTCTCATAGATTACAGATTCAGACTTGGAGAAAGTGGTGCAAAGACTAAATAGTTTAGGACCCCAAATGGACTGGAATGGAGTTAAAAATATAAATTTGTCTGGTTTCTAAAAGAATCAGAAAAGATCCAATTCCTGTACACCTTGGAGTGTAGACTGTTATTTGTGCCTGTCATGTAACTAATTCCCTGAGTTGTCACTGAGCTTCATTTCACCTTCAGTTCCCTCCATTTCCACCAAGTTCTTTCTCTAGGTTTACATTGGACTGACCCACTTACATCCTACCATCTTTACACCTGTCAGTGGGTAGGTGGAGAGGAAAAGGGTCACGATTTAATGGAGGTCCTGGATCCAGGAGAACATGGACCTTGAGAGCAGAAGACCGCACGATGCCTTGGGTGCTTCAGCATGCCGCCCTCCACATGGGTTTGTGCTGCTGTTTCTGTGTCCAACCTTCCAGCCCTCTTTCTAGCTTACTGCACTGTCATCCCCATGCCCCACCCTTAACTCTCTTCCATCCCTGAGGCTATCTCTACCATACATTTTTTTCCTATCCACAGCCTTTCCTCATCTTCTTTGGGTCTGTATGAAGCTGCTGAACATCCATCAGCCATGTGAAATGGTGAGCTGGGTGCCTGTCTCCCTCCTCTTCTCCTACAGTCTCCAGTGAAGAACCCTGAACAGGATAGTCTTATAAACAATAGACTGCATTGAACTATATTATTAGAATTTATCTTACAATGAATGAGGGGGGAAGGAAAGGGAGAGTCAGGGAAGACGGCAGAGTAGGAAGTGCCAGGAATCCATCTGTCAACCTAGACAACAATTCAATGGGCAAAAACTGTCTGAAGTAACTATTTTTAAATTCTGAAGTGTATTTGAAAGCGTTCGGGTTCCAGGAGAGAGACTGACTAGTGATTTACAGTTAATTGTGGTCAATATTAGCTTTTAATGTGGCAGCAGTTACGATTCATCCTCCACTCCCCAGTCCCATGGTAAGCAGCCAAGATGTAGCTTGATGGAGCTGGGGCAGAGGATAAAGACTTGATCCTCCAAATATCCAGTTTCTGTGTTCTGAATGCTGCTTTTGATTGCTGAGGTACAGACACAGAGGCTGGCTGACATTGTTACAACCCTCACCAGGTAAAACAGCTTCCAGAAGATTTCAAGGAGCAGCACTTTTTTTTCTTTTCTATTTAAGACATTGAAGGATTAAACACAACTGAATACCCACGAGAAGTTAGAAGGCCGTGAGGCATGCTCAGGAAAAGATTCGTGCCCAGAAAAGACCTGAGGAAGCCTTAAGCTTTCACTTCATTCCTGACATGGCTGATACCATCCAACCATAACAAAACAAACTAAACAAACACATCAAACCCCAAATTACTATAAAATTCTAATGTCCATTTCTCAGTTAAAAAAAAATCACAAGGCATACAAAGACACATAAAAGCATAGCTTATTCAAAGGAATAAAATACATGAGCAGAACTTTCCTGAGGAAACCCAGATGTTGGACTTAGTAGACAGAACAACTGTCTTAAAGATAGTGAAGAGCTGAGGAAAACATAGACAAAGACAGGAAGATAATTATGAACAAAATGAGAATACCAATAAAGTGAAATTTAAAAAGGAAAGAAAAATAAAATTTGGAGGAGTTGGAAAGTTTGATAACCAAACTAAGCGTATTTTAGCAGGCCAAAGAAAGAATCTGCAAACTTGAATATAGGAAAATAGAAATGATCAAGCCTGAGAAGAAAGAAAGAAAGAATAAAGAAAAACGAATAGAGGAGATCTGTGGAACACCATCAAGTGGACTCATGACACATTATGGAAGTCTCAGAAGGAGGAGACAAAGGGGTAAAGAGATGATATGAAGAAATAATGACTGAAACCTTTGTGAATTTGAAAAAAAGAAAAGAAGTTAAAAATTCAAGATCAGCAAACTTCAAGTAGCATAAAGATGCAGGGGCCCACACTGAGTCACATTAAAATGAAACTGTCAATATACACGTGGAAGAACCAAGGGAACAGAGAAATACTGCACAGAAGACATCTTCAATAAGATCGTCAGATTTTTTTATCAAAACACACTGAACTGGTATATTCAAAGTGCTAAATAAAATAGATAAAATAAAATAAAACTGCCAACCAGAATTCCGTATCAGCAAAACTGTCCTTCAATAATGACAGGAAAATAAGACTTTCATATATAAACAAAAACTGAGAAAGTTTGTTAGCAAAGAGCTACATCATGAAAAATGCTAGAGGGAGTCCAAGTTCAAATGAAAGGATTCAAGATGTAAACCGGAAGGCATAGGAAGCATTAACATCTCCAGTCAAGCAGGCATGAAGCTAAGCTTTGTTGGTACAATGCACTAGAGTGACAGTGGAGG